CTATTCAAGAGAACTTAGATCTAATTGGGCCATCCTGAACTCTTGATTTGTGAAATATCACTGACAGTGTGACATTTTTCCATTAACTAAAATTTGACTCCAAAGCTGGCGGCAATTTACATGTTTGTGTATATGTATAAAGGCTATATTTACTTGAAAGAAACTTTACAATTTAACATGTGTATGGACTAATATTAACTTCTGGGAGTAATCTATTCCATTTTACCTTGTTCATTTCCCTGTAAGTGCTTATGGATAAATTTATCCAAACCATAATCTGTTTTGACTAGCTACACCTGATAATTTTTTGGTTTGAAAGATTGTTCTCTTCCTAACAGCATAATCCTGATTAAATTCTTTTGTTGCCATAATTGATGGCTCTGAATTTAGGTTTTTGATGAAGACATTGGGCAAGATAAGCGATTGGGAATAGCAAAATTACCACTTATTGACCTGAAAGAAGAAACTGAAAAGGAGTTTGAGTTGAGACTGCTGCCATCACTTGATACACTGAAAGTGAAAGACAAAAAGGATCGAGGAACCTTGACATTAAAGGTATAATTAGACATGCATTGATTTGTTTCCATTAGTGCATCATTTCTGTAACTATCCTTGATATAGCTGTATAAATGTTCTCTGGATTAAATTAAAAGTCACAATCTCTCATTGAAATTCCAGATCTTTTATCACGAATTTGACAAGAAAGAACAATTGGTTGCACTAGAGGCAGAGAAAAAGATACTAGAAGAAAGGAAGAAACTTAAAGAGGAGGGAGTTATAGGAAGTACAATGGATGCCCTAGATGGAGCAGCATCGGTGGTTGGTTCCGGTGTTGGAATGGTGGGTTCCGGTGTCGGAATGGTGGGTTCTGGTGTTGTTTCTGGTGCTGGACTTGTTCGGAGTGGTGTTGTTTCTGGAGCTGGATTTGTGGGGAGTGGTGTTACTTCTGGTGCTGGACTTGTGGGGAGTGGTGTTACTTCTGGTGCTGGACTTGTGAGTAGTGGAGTTTCTTCTGGAGCTGGGCTTGTTGGCGGCGGCCTTGGTGCTGGATTCGGGGCTGTTGGCAGTGGACTCGGTGCTGTTGGCAGTGGACTCAGCAAAGCAGGGAAGTTCATGGGAAGGACGATCACCGGACAAGGGGGATCCAAAAGGAGTGGTTCATCTACTCCTATCAATGTGGAGGAGGCTGGTGGTGGTGCAAAACCTCTCAATCAGTAACTGCAACAGCCCTTTTACCTTCAACTTTTTCTTTCTTCTTTTTCAAATTCTGAGGATGTTGTTAATTGAAATAGAGATTGAACACTTGTAGAGATGACACTTCAATTTTAGTTGTAGCATCCTTTTTTTTCTGTAACTATGTTTCACATGGCCCTGTAATAAACTAACATTGTAAAAATTCCTGAAAACAAAGTTTCAAAATGGAAAAAAAGAAAAAGAAAAGAAAACCATGTTACACAAATTGTTGTTAACTTTTAATTATGAATTTTAGTGTACACTTCTATTTTTGGTAGTATGTTTGATTTTTTGCAGTCTGTTGTCTTATCAGACAGGTGGGCAGTTATTTACTGTTGAAATTATTGAAACACGACATCAAAATGGGTGGGTCCCATGTTCAGAATATATTTTTTTAATAAATAGAGATTTTTTTATTATAAAGAGTTATTTTCTATGGAGGACATTATTGAATTAACACCAGCTCTACTTCTTCCTTTTTTCTAGGCTCCCATTGTTTTCTTTCTTCCCATAATAATATTGACACTTCTACCACCCAATTTGCTTCTAATACAGATTTTGAAGGTTATTACTCTTCCAATCAATACTCATTCTATGCAAATAGACCAAACTCTAGTTTATTGCAAAAAAAACAGGCTTCTTCTTTGGCTTATTCTGAACCCAAATATGCCTTAGTCCATAATAATACTTGGACACTCTAATTTCCCCTCCCTACATGACAAATTGTTGGTTGGTTGTATCTGGGTTTTTAGAGTCAGGAAAAATTTAGATGGCTCTCAAGCAAGTATGCTTGTCTTGTAGCTAAAGGTTTCATCAATAACTTGGCCTCTTTTTCATTTAGATGTTAATAATTTTTTTTAAAAGGTGTTTTTGATTAAATTTCTTGCATGTAACAAGTCTTAGTTTTGTATACCTTGGTCTTTCTTTAGCATGCAAGCTCATCGAGGTTATGTATGACTTGAAAAGAGAACCTTCGTTATAGGTTTGGAAAACTACAAAAATATTTTTATTCAATATGGTTTTAATCTCAACAAGTGTGATCATCCACTTCTTTTCTCAATGTTAAAGTAACACTATTTGTTAGTTTATCTTAACAACATAAGAATAATAGATAATTCTTCCACACGTTTTCAAAGGATTGTCAATTAACTTAATTTTGTTTTCTCCTTTAAGTAGTTGAGCCAACTTGATTTTCTTGTGAGAAGTTACAACTTTCAAGGATGATTCCCTTTTTAAACCCAAAATAAATGTATTTGTGATCTTTTACATGTATCTAATATATTTGAAGTTAAGTGTACTTCTTCCCATATGACCTCTAATAAAAAAAATTAACAAAAGTTTTCTTCTTGATGTAACTTCCTATAGACCTATTATAGGTTTTCTTCAATATGATATTATAATTCTTCCAAAAATCAATAATGTTGAGAACAAAAGTGTTTCCATTTACTATTTCTGTGCTTGAATATCACTAAACTACTATCAAAAGGATTATTCTACGTCTTAAAGAAACTCATTTAAATGGCCCTTGTCAGAATAAATTTTAACATACCTATATTGATTTTGATTAAGTGTTGTTAAACAACAAAGTACAAACATGAATACTTTTGACCTCTAAGACAATAATTTTCAAACAAATCATGAGATGCTTTATCTGGTACCACATTGTATTCTCTTGCTTTATATAGTAAGTAAAACCTTAATCAAATGATATGCATACAGTTAAAGTAACTTTGTCTATCACGAAATTATTTATGAACTTATTTTGTGTTGTAAAAAATATTATTCATATTCACGCCTACCATGAAAATCTCATAAAACTTTTATCAACATTAAATATCTTTAAAAAGACACGCTAAAATTGTTTCACGCTAACACACATCCTAACACATCTTATGTCAATTGTGGAAATACTATCTTATCATGTATGGTTCTACGATTTACTCCAATTTTGAGTCAAAGCTCTCTGACCTAAGCATGACAAGTTATGCTAGCTATCAAGATGTTACTTGAAGAAGAGATAATAATTTAATGTTGCATGGACCGTATTGTTGTGCTCTAAAAACATTTTGCATATTCATATGCAATTCAGAAGTGTGTTTTAACTTTGTGTTCGTCGAAAAATGTTATTCTCTATCTAGACCTAATGATCTTTTAAATTATCCTTTTTTTTTTGTAAATCCTTTAACAATAGTGGTTGTGTTCCAAAGAGTACTCAAATATTAGCTACAAAAGATTGTAGTTGTGTTCCAAACAAAACTATAAGTTGTCAACCAAAAGTAATTGTTTTTAAATAATACTTGAGTTTTTAGCCAAAATTGACTTAATGTCTAAATAATAATTTAATTGTTTTTAATTAGAATAGTTGTGATTTAAACAATATTTATTAGTAATTTCACCGCATTAGTTTGTCAAGTAAAATTTGATGGATTGATAAGAACTAAAAATAGTGTAGATTCATCTACAAGCTAGTGTAAAAATATATAACATAAGTTCTTCTTCTCCTTATTTAAATTGCATATTACTAAATTTCTAACAAAAGAAAATGTGCTTTTCCTTTCTTTAAAAGCTAAGTTCTTTGAAACATTTTTAACAAATTGTCTATCACATTAAAAACATGTGTCTATCATCACTCCATCAAACACAACTTTGCAAAAAAAATTCAAAGAATTTTGTTATACAGTTGAATTTTCTCTTTTTATGTATTTGACCTATGTTCAGGGTCTTCTTACTTTTATGATCTTTGTCTCTCTTTTTTCCTTACAAGCTTTTGGCGTAGATTGGACCGCAAATACTAATGATCACAAGTCCATCTTTGGTGTTACCATACGTTTTTAGATCAAATATCATTTTATGGTAGTCTAAGAAAACAAGTTGCTTTGGCAATATTTAGTACGTAAAAAGGAGTATAAGAATCTTGCTTAAACGACTGATAAAATTCCAAGGATTCAAACCCTTAAAAAACTTGGCATATAACATGATCCCCCTTATTATCTGCTATGATAAATTGATAGTCAAATTACAATGGTCTTATCTCATAATCATATTCTTCATGTCTGAACTAAGTACATGAAATTGAACTCTTCTTTGTTTGTGAAAAAGTTCTATCCAAGTGTCTGTATGTTTAACATATCTCAATTCAAGTGTGGGGAGATGATGCTCTAATCAAACCTTTCTCATACTCATTTTTTGTTTATTTAAGACAAACTCAAAGTGGTTGCCCTTCCTATTTAGGTGTTTTGTCTGTTGTTCCTTTACTGCTTCGATTTTTTTCATTCTCTGCATAAAAAGAATCCTTGTTTTCGTACAAAAGATCATCAGACCACTAATTTTACTTTACCTCTTTTACGTTTGTTTTTTCATAGTAAACTACATTGGATTAAGCTTTCTTTCGACGTTTGAATACTCATTTTGAGAGATTCAAACCAAGGCTCGAAAGTCAAACATTCCATGTTGCCTTCTTAGCGTACTATGTAGTATTCATAAATGGTTACAAACAATCAGTTGAAGAGTAAAGCCTCTAGTCAAGAAGTTTGATTAATTGATGTTCATCTGTTGAATTTCGTTTCATTGCCTGATTATATTTGCTTAATATACTTCCCAAGTTGATTATGACAATTGCTCATTTTATCACGACTAAGATAATTAAAATCATACTCTCTAATCACATATTGTGAGAACAATGCTTGTCATTATATCAATTTCTGATGATTCGTGCACTAAAAGAAAATGCAATCGTAAAAAAGGTTCTCGAAACAGAAGAAAGCTACTTTTGAAAGAATACATAAAAATTGTTATTCTATTTCTAGTCCAGTCTCAGTATCAGAGTATTGTATACAATGAAGGGATTTTATAGCAGTAAATAAGGTATAGTACTTATGTACCTTGTTTCAAATCAGTGAGGGTAGTGTAAACAAATAAAATTAATTGAAAGCAAAAAACAGTGACTTAGGAAAGAGATGATGTAGGGGTAACCACAGAATAAGCACTGACCCTATCACTCTGAAATTGCTAAGATAGAAAGAATATGGGGAAGGGTATTGATCAGAGAAAAAGTGCGTTTCTCTGGACTTCAGGACCTAATTGTCAGGATCATTCATGTAGCCTACAATTCTGAAGATAGGGATGACTAAATTTTACATATTTGGTCCAGTAAGACCGATATTTTGTCATGGCTATCTCTAACCATGGCTTCATATTACCGTTGTAGTGTACCACTGCCGCATTATCTATCTCTGAACGATCTACACTTGGATTGTAACCTAGACCAAGCACATGCCATGATTTATCTAGCGGATGTGTTAATCCATAGAATGTCATCAGCCCTGGAGGCAATGTCCCCAGCTTCCACAGCACCCTGTCTTCGTTCTGGAATCAAACAGGAAGAAAAGGGTTAGTGAAAGATCAATCAAAGTGATTTAACTTAGTACATAAAGTGCAAGTTAAAACCTTATGTTGTTGCAATGTAAATGGTTGATATTGTAACAAGATGCATTCACACAAATATAACTAAGGAAGTTGTTAACATTACAACCGTCAATTTTTTAATCAACAGTTGTAATTGCACTTTATCCTCAAAAGGGTAAGTCTTCTCTTTAGAAAAGTTATATATGTCTGTGGTAATCTTTATTATGTAATAGACACGCGATGTAAGCCAAGTTTATGTTCAAGTACTCACCAAATTCTGCCACTTGTGATATATGCCAGTGATATCCTTCTTTTTCCACACCTTCAAATCAAACATGTTCATCCCGTATGCCCAACCACAAGCATTTGGATCAAAATTTTTTGCAATATGTGGATTTGAAAAGTTAAGGTACTTGTCAAATCGGTGAAAACTCTCCCCACATGTTTCAACAGCACCATTTACATTTCCATTAAGATTTACAGCCCATAATCCAGTCAGGTCTTTCTGGACAACAATGTCATCATCAAGAAAAAGAATCTTATCCAATTTAGGATAAACTTGTGGAAGATAGAATCTCAGGTGGTTAAGCATTGACAGATATTTTGGATTTCTGTACTTGAGATTCGAAGCACCAGTAGTAGTTGGATGGCCTGCCTTGAAATAATACTCTTTCATTGTTGCAGATTCAAGCTGCCTCAAGACTGGGCAGTAGGATGAGTTCAACCACTTAAATTCATCGACATTTTCAACATTGATTGTAGCTTTTCCAGGAGGATTCAGCAAAAACCACATGTTCATGGCTCCAAAATTTAGCTTATCAGTAACAAGGTGAAACACATGCTTTGAAGGATCCTGATGTTGAAGAAATGAAGATAAGACAAACGAAAAGTTTAATTATATTAGTTAGTGACTTAGGGATGCACTGAAGAAGCAAAATATGTGGGGGCTGTACAATGCAAGCAGAAACTATTTCATTATCTGTAAAAAATTACTTTATACACTTGCGTGCACACATTGGTATGGTAAAAGATAGTACAAGTCACCTTTGCATTCACAATAGTTGAGTTGACAACAACAGATGCAGCCAAGACATTGTCCGAGAATAGGGCATAATGATAGAGAGTAGGATTCTCCAAATTCTCACTTCTAGGGAATTTTCTCTGTTCAAGAGGAAGGAGGAAGTAGTCTATGGTAAGGCGCATAGATAAGCAATGAATTCCATTCGGTATGGTCTTGGCAGCCAACTGGCTAAGGAACGTGCTTTGTTTTCTCAAGCCCCTAACTCGCTCATCAGCTGTTTGTAGCATTGCCCTCAATTTCCCAGTAACCAACTTACAGTCATACAATTGCTCTTTCGCCTTGGAAAGAACATGGCCCATAGTTTTTATATTTTCATGATCGCTACAGATATTAAACATTTGATTAGTAAAGTTGGTTAATGCAAAAACTAAAACACAGATGCATTTGGAAATCACTACTGAGAAAATTGCACATAGCTTTCATACCTCGGCTTTAGCTCAGCATCAGAAGTTGCCTCACCTAAAGCACGCTGACTTCCTTTAAGCTGAAATTCCAATTCTTGGTACAGTTGAAGACTGTCCTTCATCTTTGCAATACTCAAGTAAACCTTAGCCATAATGATTTGGTCTCGCATCAACCGTACAGTAGAATCCGCATTTTCATTCTCATTTTCTTTCCTCCAAATGTTGTATTTACCAAGAACTGCTGAATCAACAGATTTCGAGTGTTCAATAGCTGAATTTTCAAGCTTTACAATTACTTCATCCTCTCTTATCAACTCAGCAGCACGCTTTTCCTTCCTTTTCTCTATTAGTTGCTGTAAAAGATATATTCAAAGAACAAAACAGGGTTTATTCCCATAATTGTTGAGTTTCCAAAGTAGAGTATCACCAACAGTGCAAACAACATTGAATTTTATATAAACTTTAGGGTTATGGGTGTGCAGTTCTCTTCAAGTCGAATGTGTATTAAAAGAATTAATTTAGGAATAAAAGGCTTTACATTTAGAGGAATTATCAACCATATGTTACAGGCATAGATTACTAGATGATCTTGGGTTAAAGCACTCGATTACAAAAAATGAATAAAATTGAGTTTGAGATGACATTTTGTTGGGTTGTGAGGGAAGCCTAAATAACACAAAGATCTTCCATCAATGGTCATTCTTATTCAATGTGAGATTTTTTTCTTGGATTTGGTCCTCCAACAACTTATTTGCAGGATATGGACAAATTAATAAATTTCCAATGTGTCAAATACAAGGTAGTCAAACTCTAGAGGTATCTCTTAAAACTCATGAGTTATCCTAGATAGGAAAAACGAGTTAACAAAATCAAACTAATTTTCCCTTCCTTATTTATGAATTTAAAGGTGGAAAGTCTCCACTGAGAGGTGCATGAGTTTGCTAAACACAAGCGTGTAAATTTTCTCATTAGCAATAGAAAGAGTCTTGCCCCATTTTGTTTTGTTCATATTGATGTATGGGGTCCCATTAATGTCCCTGATATCTCTGGTGCTAAATGGTTTATAACCTTTATAGATGATTGTACCCAAGTAACATCGGTTGTCACAATGAATAAGAATCAATATGGACTCAATATTACGAGAATTGCGTATGATAACACTAGGGAATACTTTAATCTTGAATTGAACTATTTTTGCCAAAAAGAGGAAATAATCTGAGTCTTCATGTGCTAACACACATCAATAGAATGAGATTGCTCAAAGAAAAAATGTGCACTTACTAGAACAAACTAGAGATTTATTTTTTCAATATCATGTTCCTAAGCAATTTGATGGACAAGCCCTTCTTACTACCACTTATCTTATCAATAGATTACCCTCTAAAATCTTAGGATCAAAGAGTCCCATGGATGTCCTATCTTGTTATACCCATACATAGACCCAACAATAAAACTCCAACCTCGAATATTTGGGAGTGTATCCTTTATGGATGTTCATAGTAATGAAAGGGGGAAATTGGATCCTAGAGCTGTCAAATGTGTTTTCTTAGGATACACAACCATGCAAAAGGGATATAAGTGCTATCACCCACCATCCAAACAATATTGTGTCAAGAGATGTCACCTTCAATGGACATGAGAGCTACTGTAAGAAACCTCATCTTCAGGGGGAGAATATAAGAGAGGAAGATGAGTCTCTCAAACTTCCAAATATGATATTTGAACCTGCACCTAAACCTCCTGAACCTGCACCTAATGAAGGTGGAAAATTTGGAAAAAATGTGGTTTACTCAAGAAGAGAAAAGGCCATTTCAGAATTTGTCCATGTCCAAGAATCCAACCTACCATCATTACCTAAGTTAACTATTTCTAGTCCTATACATTCTGATAATTCTAATGAGTTTGTATATGAAAATTTAGAAGCACGAATGAACCAAAACCTAGCCCTTCCCATTGCCCTTAGAAAGGGAACCAGAACATGCACCCGACAGACCTAACAACCCTTTTACACTCTATCGAACTTTTTGTCCATTGAAAAATTCTCTCCTACACACAAAAACCTTTGTAACAAACCTGAACTCTAACCAGACCTTCATCCTGTATATCTATAGCATTCTCTAATAGGAAATGGAAACAAGCCATGGGAATGGAACATGAGCTAAGAACTTGTCACCTTACCAACTGGAGAAAAAAAACAGTGGGATGTAAGTGGTTATATATCGTGAAACATCAGACTGATGGGATCTTTGAATATTATTAGACAAGTCTAGTGGCGAAAGGATTCATTCAAACCTATGGAGTGGATTACTTGGAGACATTTATCCCGGTTGCTAAGATGAAAACAGACTCAGTAATATTGTTATTAGGAGCAAATCATGATTGGGATATATAGCAGTTCAATGGGAAGAGCAAAACATGGAATGTAGTAGCCAAATCAAATGTTGAAGCAGAATTTTGAGTAATGGCCTAAGGAATATGTGAATTTCTAGGGTTGAGAATTATATTGGAAGATCTGGAGATAAAGTGGGATAAATCTATGAGATTATATCATAATAATAATTTTGCAACAAACATAACCCACAACCCTGTGTAACATGACAAAACTAAACATATTGTGGTGGTCAGACATTTTATCAAGGAAAAGCTAGGCAGTGTCTGCTCAAAATCAACTTGCAAACATAGTCATCAAAGGGCTAAACTACATTAAATTTGAAAGAATTATATCCAAGATGGGAATGGAGAAGACTTGCCAGCTTGAGAGGGAATGTCAAAACCGTGTTGTCCATTGTGTATTTTAGGAGTTATCCTAGCAATAATTTTATTCTGCTATAGTGGTATTATGCCATTAATGCTAGGATTAGATCATGTATCTAAAATCAATCCCATAATTACTAGGATTTGTTTCCTTAGAATTTGCTCTCTATATTTCCTAACATAACCAGCAAACCCATGTATTTATAGGTCCACTGGCTTCATTATTTAATACAGAAATATCTTATTGTTTCTAAATTTGAGAAATTTCCTTTAGCACTGATGTACTATCACACTTTCTCATTGTGATTTGCTACTTTCTTTATTGTGGTGTCGAAATGTTGAAATGTATTAAGAGTGTTATGCTATTCATATGTCATTAATAGATTTTTGCAATATTATTTTTTATATTAGGTAAACTCTTACAAGTTTGAGTTAAATGTTTGAGTCGAGTTGTAGTATTGATTTTTTTTTTTGTATATGGGTTGAGAGAACCCAATTGCCTCCTATTATTATGTGTTATTGCTGATAAAAACAAAAGCATGAATGTATGTAAACTCTCCAATTTAATAAGCTTGATCAAACATATTCTAGACCAGCACAGCTTCATGTCAGCTGGAGTGACAAAGAGGGTATCCCAGCATATAAGTCATCATCATGGGCCGTTGGGATTTGGGAAGGCTTATGTATTATTATATCAGTAATGAGGCTGTTTCCATGACATTGTAACCTCTTACAAGGTGTAGCAGATTACCCCACAGTGCAAACATGCATCAGTAAATGCCTATTAGAAAAACTGTATACAAGTTAAAACAAGAAAAATACTCAAGAACGATCAAGGATACTCACCCTTCTGGATAGCTGTGCAGGAGTGTCAGTCCACTGAGCATGACCAACTGCATTCCTAAAAACTATACAATGAGAATGTAAACTAAGAGAACATAAGTAAAGTACGCAGCAGTGCGAAACCACCTGAAAATCTTCCTTCCTTCCCATCGTGCTTCTCTTGTCCAACATTGTTTGCCGGTTCGTTAACCTATAATCAAAAATAAAAATAGCCTATCATAGAGAGAAAAAAATATGCCCTTTTTTCTTTAAACCAGGAAGTGAAAGCTTCTAGACGAAATAAATCAGTCTTCCAAACCTGATTTGTAGCATCAGAAGCCTTTGATCCAACAACTCTCCATGAAGCAGACAAATTTTTTCTAAAACTCTCAAGACTCAAAGGGCCCACATCATTTGTGTTGGAAACAATAACATCTAGAACCTAATGCATAATAATTATTAGAAACCCAGGAAGAGCATGAACTCTTCAACAAAAAAGCATTACACACGAGACACAGAGCAGGAGTAAATATAAGCTTTCGCTTGCCTCTTTGGAAAAAAGCGATTCAAGATCCTGTAGTGACTGCCACTCTCTGAATCTGGCAACCTGCAACAACCAACACCAATAAAAAAAAGAAGGTCCCGTAAGCCACTTGTAGGAAAAGAAAATGAGAAGGTAATAAAATGCGTTAAGGTTCTCCATAAGCCTCCTTATCTTTTGGGTAAATTAAATGAAGAAAGCTTTCTATAAAACTTAAATGCATAAGTCAATATAAAACTTAAATGCAAAGTTGATTTTAGCTTATGCAAGAAGTTCGATTTTTTACCTTCATATTCTCTTCTCCCATAAGTACTTATAAAAAGTTCATCCAAACAGAGTCTTAATCACATAACCAATAAACCCAAAAACGTACCTTTCTGCTGGTAACAGCCGAATTACCACCTTGATCTGCACAATGCACTTGAAGTAATTAATCAAACTAACTTAAACCAATTCCACATGCATTGAACGAAAAACCCATAGACACTAATCACGATTATTTTCTCCTCCCATTTCCCACTTCTCACGTCAAGAACATTATACCACACACACCCCATTTAATGCCCGAAAATTCAAAACTCCCTAGAGAGAAAAAAGAGTGAGAGAAAGAAAAAAAATAAAGCATATATAATCTACAAGAAAACATAAAGCATTAGAAGAGTAGTGGATGTGAGATCTGGGACAATTATAAGATGTAAGCAATAAGCAATGCCCAATTGGAAAAGAAGTGAGATTTGATTGAAATAAGTAAAGGAAAAGGAATGAGACCGTGAAAAGTATGAAGGGGCGATGCGCGGAAGAAGAGAAGGGGCGCAAGGAGGCACAGAAGGAGGAAGGCAAGCAGAGGAAAATGCGATCCCTTTGTTCTGTTGTTGTTGGGTGCCATTGCGGATCTGAATCAATCAAAATGTGAAAGGGAAAGAGAAAAAAGAAAGAGGGTTTATTGATTGATCATGCAGCAATGCTTCACTCCAATGAAAGAAAAAGAAAGAGAAAAAAACAAAAGTGTATGTGTTGTGGTGAAGTGAAAGTGTGAAAGTGTGAAAGTATGAAATGGTGTGGTTTGGTTTAGAATGTGGGTTGGATGCAATCTTTGGTCTCTCAATTTCCAACTTCCACTTTCCTTTCATTCCCCAGCTGTTTCTTGCTGGCTCCTTCTCCCTCTTCTTTTTTCCTCATTTTTTTATTTTCAAGGTTCATAAAAAACCAATCTTCAATTATAGTAATTTTCTCTTTCTATATAATACAAATATTTCTAAGATTTATTAAAAAACTCTAATGTTCCATGATGATATTTTTTACGGGTAGAAATCACTTTTAGTTTTTTATGTAGTTGATAGATTAAGTTTTACAAAATTTGTTACAATACTTTATATTCTAAAACATGCATAAAATTAAGTTTTTTTAAATTTGAAAATTAATAATTAAATGTGTTGTTTAACAAGTAAATTAAGACTATTAGTACACCCAATATTGTAAAACATTATTTAAGAAAAACATTTTAATTACGCGTATATGATAATGGGTTAAGCACGCGGAGTTTTAATTAATATTAGGGAGAACAACATTAGCGTATTACCAAACGTCTTAATCTAATTACGCGTGATCATACACGTTAATAGTGACTGGTCATTCATGTAATAACCATTGCATCATAATTTTATGATTTCTTGAATTAGATGTAAAACGATTTATACGTCGCAAAAATAATTTAGTTTAATATAGTTTGTGATTTAATTTATTTTTCTGCTTATTGGTTTTTTTTTATAAGGCCTTTATCTAATTCTTGGATAAACTTGCTCTGAATTTACTATTAATACAGCTTTGTCAATTATAAACATTTATTGATTACAATTGAGAGTTAGTTGGGTTTTATAAATAGTGTATTAAAAGTGAAAATATTAAAGGATTTTTTTTTCTTTTTGCTAAAAGTCAGATTAAACATATTAATTATTGACTTAAGACGCTTATTAATTTTTACTGTAACTTAATACTACAGTATTTCGTAGCTAATGTAGTGAATTTATCCGAATACATGGAACGCAAAAATTTACATGAAAAATAAGAGAATTTTGTGAATGTGCAGTATTATTTCTATATGATTTTAAACATGGATTTAGTTCTTTAATTTTTAAAATTAAAGAAATTTAGTTTATTATTAATACGTTGCTTAATTATTAATCGAAAATATTAATAGAAAATTTACTTCATTTTCATAATAAATAGTTAGTTGACCAAAATTAAACATTTACAATAAATTAAAAGAAAAATGTGTTTAAGGATGAAAGTGCTCTTATGAAGTGACAGCTTTGGGAGCGTCAATGACCACCATGTTTAACATATATAAGTTGTATTAAATTATTTTGTAGTTATTTGAGTAAATATGGTAATGGCTGTTTTGGCCAATAATTTTTTAAAATTTTATTTTTAAAATTTGTTACATGTATATTAAAATTATATTTAATTATATAACTTCTTAAGTTTTAATTAATTAACTGAATAAATTAGAATAATCATAATTTTTATATGTTAAATTATGTTATTATAGTTAATAATTAAAACTTAATTTGTAATTATTAATAATTTAAATTGCAATATTATTAATATGTTTATCTTTCAAATAATATCATATATAAAATTAACCTTTTAAATTATTTTTATTTTAATTTTTAATTTAAAAAATTTAGACCGATAAACCACACTTTTGTCAAGTAAGTTTGAAGATTCTTTAAGAAGAATGTAAAACAAATTAAAAAACTTAACTTGATTAGTTAAATTTGAGTAAATTACATACCAAAGTTCATCTTACCACTTATGTAAGTGAGTTGAGATGAAAAAAAAGAAGAAGAAAAAGTTAGAAATAAAGAATGAAAAACATGAGTTTCAAAATGTGACTAACATGAGTAGATCAAAACTAAAAGACTACAAATTGATAAAATTTTAAATTTAAATAAAGGTCAAGATGATCCAAGTCGAAAGTTCGAGACTATTGAATAGAAGGTTGAAGCGAGTTGTCCTAGGTAGAGGGTCAAAGAGATTCAAGGCTAAAGGATAGAGTTGAGACACCATAAGCACAAGGTTGAGCCGAGTCAGCCAAAGTCAAATAATCAAGCTAAGTCAATTCAAGTCAAAAAATCAAGCCAAGTCGACTCAAACAAAAAAAAATCGAATTAAATTAGGCCAAACTAAAAAATCAAGCTTAGTTAGTCTAAGCTAAAGATTGAGCTAAGTCGGTAAAGGCCCAAGTGATGCTGAGTCGATCCAGACCTAGGTGGTGTCGAGTCAACCTTAACTCAGGTGGTGCCAAGTAACCCAAACCTAATGGTACTAAGTCGACACGAGTTCAAGTTGAGTTATGTTGGTTTGGATCCAAATTAACTTAACTCTGGTCAATGTTGAGATCAGATGCCAAAACCTAAGTCGACACAAGTTAACTTGAGTCCAAATTGAACCAAGTTGACTCATATGTCTAATAGGCCTAATGATAAGGTATACTAGATTTATCTCATTGGATTTAATTTAATTGACAAGGTGGATTTAATTTATATTTAATGTAATTTAAATTGAATTGAAAAAATCCAAATATAATTTATCTAACTAAAATATGAGTTATAGATCTAATTCATTTTATTAGATTTAGATTGATTTTATAAACTAAATTTCAAAAAAATTTAATGCATGAACATTTTTTTTTCTTTTAAGAGTGCTTCTTTAAGTTGTTGTTTATGCTTGTTAATGTTGTAATGGTAATGGTTTGGATATGGATGGTGAACAAAGTTTGACCCTCCTTGTGTGGCTCTTAGTAAAGGGAAAGAAGGTTCATGAAAAGGGTATAGTTGACATGATGACAAGTCTTATGTTTTTTATATATCCATGTATTGTTACACTTGCAATTGATATTAGATTACTATTTTTTAATCGAATATTATGGATTAAGTTATAAATACCCAATATTCTATTATTAAATATTTTTATTTTGATATTTTAAAATAAATCATGTGATAAATGTAACAACCAAAAAAAACATACATATCTAATTTCTCGAGTGATTATAAAGTTAATAAAGAGACAAACCTAGTATATGGAAAATGATGCAATGTACATTATAATATACCAATAAAAATACAATAGTATTTAACAATTGAGTATTTAAAATTACATTCCATAGTTATCTAGTTTTCAAAATATTATGAGACTATGATACTATTATTTTATTTTAACTACATTAATCCTAAAACAAATAAGAACACTTCTCATTTCCATAGACTCTACTACAGTTACTAATTTCCTCTATCTCACTCTAAAAATAACAACCATTGCAAAAGAAAAAAAATACACAAACCAGATAATGGTAAGCTAATGTTATTAAGTCCAATCATATCAAAATTTATATTTTTATGATTAAACATTTAATTTTCATCCCATCATATAATCATATAGTCACATATTCACAGACACAAGATTAAGATATTACTATAATCAAATCGAGATTTATATTTTTATGATTAAACATTTAATTTTCATCTCATCATATAATCATATAGTCACATATTCACATACACAAGATTAAGAATTACTAGAATCAAATCGAGATTGATGCAATTACTCAAACACTAGGAGTTACACACTCATGGTAACTTTACATCAAATTTTCCATATTTCCTAATATGATATCTTAAGACTGGCCCATAATTTACTTGTTCACAAACTTCTCCACGGGGTTAATTCACTATAACTCAATTGAGAAGAAATCCATGATTTCTAAATCAACTATAAAAACCTCCTGCACTCTTCACCACCTAAACCTTATTCTCTATATGAGTTTGAGAGCCTAGTGGAGTCTATGGATAACTTTAAGAGTGTCCCTAACAATTGCATCACACTACTCTTATCAAACTATATCCTTCCTCTTAGGAAGAATATAGTCATTACAAACCAAACAATTTATACAAATAATTTATGTATTTATCACATTGAAATCCTTTCTCGAAAGTTTACCCTTCATTTCCATTTTTTATAACATAATCATCCATTATTTCCATCACATTTATCATATAACTCAATTCATAACTAATAACATACAATTATATTGTTCCTTGATTCTCAACCATTCATGATTCTTAACACAATAATAACATGTTTTATTATAAGTTCAAATCACATCTTTAATCTCAAGGTACATAGAATATTATATAGTTTCTACGCTACCAGCTTTTAATATATACATTCAAAGAATACTCAATGACAACCACACACATCATTACTCTTGGAAGTAACCAATATTCACCAGTTATAGACCCTCAAACATCCCTCAACCTAGATCCCTTATGTTGTGTTTGGATCTGGTGATTTACTATTCTCATAGATGGAATAACGGGTGTCGATTATGTTTGGATCCGCTAATTTCAACTTATTTCAAAGCGTTGATTTTTTATTAAGTATGAGGTATTCACACTCATTGAAGTGAGGAGATCCTCACGAAAAACAATGTTATTGCTTTAAATTTATTTATATGATCCTTCATAATTATCATTTTCATGTATTCTCTACATATTTTTAGAATGAGTCGAGTTTTTCGAAAGACAAAAGTGATAAAGATGAAGCTGAGAAATCAATTATCCAAGAAAATAATCAATTATGGGAGTTGAAAAAGATGCATAATGACTAAGACAAATCGATTTTCCTCTCACTTGAAAATAATCATAGTGACTTGGTAGTGTTCTTGGTCTCATGCTCATGGCGCAGCCCTTGGTAATGTGGCTTGATAGTATCCTTACTAGTTTAGCCTAAAGGTGTTGTGTGATGGTGCCTTGTTGGTGCTGCCCATGGTTGTCATAGAGACCAATGAAGATGGGTTTTAATAGCAGCAATAGGATGTATTATAATATCAGGACATGAGATAATAATATAATAACAAAATAATAATAATAATAAAATTATATTTTTGTACTTCTAAAAATAATTTTAATTTCATTTTAACATAATTTTAACTATTTTCATTTAAATTTATATTAAATTTATTTATTAAAACATTTTTAATCTATCATAACTATCACATCATGCACAAACTTTCATTCCAAATCTACACAAATCACTCAATCTTTCTCTTAATCTAAACAATTTCACTTTTATATACTTTTCATCTCAAATCATCTCAAATTCACTTCTTCAAATCCAAACACACCATTAGTGATCTAGAACATGCAAAGAACCAAAACATCTCAATATGTCATTCATAAAATAAAAGCAGTCACATGGTTACCAAAATAGAATGATTTGAGTGGTCATCCACCACAACTTTAGACCTATCTCTCCCGCTCCTCAAGGCTTATGAGTAAAAACTCCAAGCTGCTAACTTCAGCACTAAACTCAACATGAGCTAGAATCCTACGGGCAAGACATTCATTCTTTTCTATCTCTCGGAAGAGGAAAGGAGCAACATTCGAATTCTTAGTCCCTTCTATCTTCCACCGCCTCTTAAAGATGAAGAGATTCACCTTTCTACCTTATCACAAGAGGAAAGGTTACTACATTTCTATTCCCTCGAAAGAGAAAAGGTACAACCCCAAAATTAACAAAGTATGACAAAAAGACATAACTAACAACATAACCACTACCACGTGACATTCTGATAAGTGCATATTTATGCCCTTATTTAGCCTTTAATATTGGATTCTTAATTGGTTTTTGTACTTTAATAGAATATTTTAATTAGGATTTGTTATAATTGGGTTTATTTAGCCTAAGATACAAAATTGTGTTAAAAATAGTTTTTCAGTTGCATACATGGTTTTTTGGATATTTTGACGTGTGTTAGTGCAACTGCAGCTAAGTTGAGCTCATTGATGTGTGGAAATAAATTGGTTAAAGTTTCATGACACCTTAAAGATAAATTCAAGAATAGAAAATAATCAAGACCACAAGAATTCAATCCAAGCATAGCATGAAAAAGTGAAGAAATTTGGCTAAGCTAAGAGGAGGGAACATACAATAAAAATTGGATCTTGCGATTTTTTCTATTTTTTCTACCAAAAGCGCTTTGATAATTGATAACTGTTTATGATTAAAGATAATTTGGGGAAAACATATCTTAAGATATTTTTTTATATTGTTAAATAATTACCTTATTTAACTATATCAATAAATATCAAAAGATAATATTTGCCAAATCTTTTTTAGTCTAGCAAATATCTTTTCAAATATTTTTAGAATTCCACAACAATCAAATAGTATTTTGAAGATATTGGATTATTTAGAAGATAATTGGAGGAGATTATATTATCATAAAGAAGATTACAACAATAGAAAAACTTGAAACAAAACCCAAGTCAATTTCTGTATAAAGAGACCTAAGGAAACACTTTGGAGGAGCTTAAGAACCCTTCGGAGGGTTTAAATTTCGTCCACCCTCTCTTCTCTCATGTTCTCCACCATCCCTTCTTATATTTTCATGTTATTTGAGCATTCCATGGAGTGCTAAGCCACTGGGTTGATTGTGTTGTAATTTCTTAACTAGATTTTGAGGATAGATGAATAAATTTGTTTGTTCTTTTGATTTTTGTTGTGATTTATTTTTATCTATGTCTTTTTCCTCTTAATCAAGTAAAAGTAATGAATGATTTTTACATTATAGCAATTTAGCATGGTGTCAAATCTACATAACATATCAATCATATGAGTCCAAGATTTTTAATTTTAATTGATGATTGAATGAGTTTTTGCCAATAATTGAGAATGTACTTTGATTAGTGGTAAAAACTTTAACAAGAATTAATCAAGATTGTACTTTGGTTAATTAGCTTTTTACTTGATATAAGAGGTAAAAGAGTATACATGATTAGGCAATAATAATATTTAATTGAAAATGTACTTTGCTTAAATTTACTATGATTAATCTACAAAGTTCTTGCTTTTAATTGATAATGTACTTTAGTTAAAAATAAGAACGCCAACAATTTAATTGAGAATTTACAATAATCTTTAGATAACCATGAATCTTATTATGAAAAAGCAGTTAAATCAACCTATTTTCTTTATATTTGTTTCAAAATTTTTTAAATCTCTTTATAAATTTCTTTCCTTTTATCTTTTGTTACTTTGTTCTTTAATCTTTTCTTTATCTTTATCTTCTTTATTATTTTATTAACCCCTTTTGTATAGCTTTTATAAGAACTAATTTGTTAAGAATCAATTCTGTGTTCGTTGGGAGACGACTTAGGATTGAATTTATCCTTTTCTATTTTGTTGGCTATTATCTTAGCAATACTGAAGTTACTATAGTTTAGTAGTATTAATTTGATCGCATCAACAACAACGTTATCACATTCACACTAATACTAGATAATTGTCATGAAAATCCATTTCACCAACATCTAATTCCTCTAGAAATTCAATCCCAGAAATCACATATCATACCTCCGGAGTCGTATCTTAACCATTTGAAAATCTTACTAATAACAATCACCCAACAGTAAACAATAGCCCTAGAGTAAATAGATGATTCAACGTTCCAAACAATGAATTTCATACCCTCAATTCATATAGTGTATCCAAAAACCTCATTTTCCTACCAGCTCGTACTCTACCACCAAGCTACAAGTTTTTCATTTCAAGTAGTGGACAAATAAAACTTTAATTTTATGTCACAAACCAATCACTATGTTTCACACTAAATTATCAGGCATTCCAAACATAATTGCTCCACTGCCCACCAAACCAAAAACACACAAAAACAAGAATAATTAAGGTACTTGTCATGATAACAAATCAGGTAGCAACAATCAGAGTCAGCAATATCCAAACAACAAGATACAATAATATTTGAGAGAAACTATAATTAGTTTAGCGTCTCAAGCATTCAAACAACTTATAACCAAGGTCCAAAAGCAACATTTCCAGTGTAGAAAACGTGGATTCATAACAAGAAAACATGCTTGAAAACAACAGAACCACAAAATATGCTCATACTGAAACAATTCAACCATCCAATTGTAAATCTCAAACAGCCAAATAATAGACACTAACCAAGTTTATACAATTTGCATTTATCAACCTACACCCACTTTGTTCTAATGCCAGACAACCTGATACAAGTGCCTAATTATGCTTCAACGATGCATATTACTATCATACTTGTCTACTTATAACATATACGTATAACACCAAATTATTTGCATTACTAACCTGATCATGCCATATATTTTTTCACTATACTAATCACTTGCCTAATTTTACATATTCTTCTCATAAATACAAGGACCACTAACTCTTAACCCACATAGTCAACTAAACATTACACAGATCATTATTTCTTCCTATCTTACCCAGCTTTAATATACACTCTATTTGATATAACTTAACTCTAAAAGAAGAGGTAGAATGGAAACTTTTCCTGTTCACGATTTCAATTGGTGGTTGGGTTTTCACAATTATCTCATGGTAGCTTCTGACCAAGAAGAAGGGAAAAAAGGGTGAGGGTAGGAAGGGGTTCTGTTTTCTAAGGTCTCACAATAAAAATAAAAGTTATTATTAAACGAAAAATTAACCGTTTAAAATTTGATTTTATAGATTTATATTTTTTTATTTAGTTTTATGAAATTAAAATAATGAGCTTAATTTTTTAAAACATAAATTTTATAATATAACTTATTTTAATTTACTTTTTTAAAAATTAAATTTATTTATTTTATTATGCAATTTTGTAATATAGTTTTGTTTTATAATTTTATGTGAACTATATATACCTTAAGGTTGAATTTTTATTTAATTTAAGTTTATGTTTTAAAAAATTATTTTTAAGTATTCTTATTTGACTTTTTTTTAAAAATTGTTTGTGGGTAGACTACTCACAAATTTATACATATTATTTTAACTTTCGAAATTATATTATATATGTAAATTCAAATTCGAAGCGAAGCTCTCAAATATCTGAATGCTAAAATTTGTAATTTGATAAATTAAAAAAAGTACTGACAAACGACTTGATTTCAAATTTTGTATAACTTAATTAGTTAAAAAGAAATAAAATCACGATTATTTTAAATTACGGGATAAAAATAGAATGAAGCCAATATGTAAAAAAAAAAAATTGAAGAAGAAAATCCAACAATAGAAGAATATATATGCAGACTTGTCAAAGACTGCATGGCATTGCCCCCACATCCGTAACTCATGGAATTTTTGAACAATATTCTTTTGATTATTAGATTAGGAACACAGCGACAGGAGCAAATGAAATTCAACCATTCAAATTTTGAGACAAAGATTTTGAGATTTCCATGAAAACCGGATGAAATTAAGGTGACTCTGTTAATTTCAATGACTGGCAAGCATGCATGCATGCCCTTTCCCCTTGACTCTGTTAATTTGAATAATGTTTGAAATGATGAACTGCTATGATGTGTAACTATGAAACATCATCGATCATGTCAATGGTGAATTCGTCATAACTTTCCAAAGGGTATCCACAAAACCCAACATGACAGGCTGTTGCTTCCCGGTGACCCTCGATCGGTCTCGCAGTCGCAGGGGAAGCTCCAAGCTTTGTATAAGTTCCTCTTCTGGTATTCATTTTCCCACTTTCTCTCTCTCTCTCTCTCTCTCTCTCTCTCTCTCTCTCTCTCTCTCTCTCTCATTTCATTCATATTACCATCTTCTTATATTTGTTCTGGTTGATTTGCAATGCTTTAAGTTTTTCAATTTGGTTTAGTTCTTCATGGAATCACATGTACAAAATTCATTGAATTTCTAGATCCAACCTTGAAATGATATGTGCAAAATACATGTGTCAGACACGATTGATAGATCATTCAGTCTTTTAAGCATACTGATATGCATATAATAAAAAGTTTGTTAAGAGATGTTGATGATGTTTTCATCTCTAAAATAATTAATGATTCTCTAATCGTGGATTAATTAAGAATCACGTCCCTAAAAAGGTTGTTCTGAACTTACAAGAACAGACATATAAGGGAAGTAAAACAAGTAATACGATTATAGCTGTATAATTCACGAGTATTTACTAAATTAGTAGTAGAAGTCATGTCAATGAAGACAAAAAGAGTTCGAAGGAGAAAAAGGTTAAGGAAATGGACCAAGCACAAATCATAAGTGCATAATAATATTTTGAATGACAATATTAGTATCAAAGAGTAGTAAGAATAGAAACATGATTGCTAGAAAAATTGATAAAATCATAATCATGACTACAATTGTGAGGAATAGGTAGAGAAAGAAAGTTAGAATCATCAATTCATAAAACAACACATTGCGAGAGATATCAATCTTATGATTTTGAATATTAAGGGCCATATCAGGAATAACTCTAGCATCAAGCTTCTTTTTGTGTACAACAAGAGTATTAATGTAACATAGACAACCAAAAAACACTCAGAACATATATGTCATATAGCTTTCCATTCAATTTTTCAAGGAGTGACAATATCAAGCGAAGAAGTAGGCATGCAATTTGATAGGATATAGGATGATAAGTGATAATCGGTTTAGGATAGAAGGAAGAGAAAATGAGAGGGCAGTTAGGAGATAAGAATTATTTGACAGTTAGTTAGTTAGTGGGAAGGGGAAGAGAAACTTTATAAATAGGGAGTGGGTTCTATATAGGGGAATTATGGAGTGAATTTGTTGTAAAGACAAGATTTTAGCCTGTAGAGGGAGGTTATGCTCCTAACCAGGGAGGTTATGCTCTCAACCATTCTTTGTAAAGAGAGTTCTTTTACTGTGAATAATAGAAAAACACATTCTTTCATTATTGTTTTTACCTACTGTTAGTGTTCTTAGTTAGGTTTCAAACCTAGGAACCTAACAAATTGGTCCGACCTGCCGTTTCGAGAAGTGGTCGAATCATCCAGAGCATTGTCGTATCAAAAGGAGAACTGCCGGATATCCTTAGGAGAGGAGTGTTGGATCTTTGGGAGAGAAGGGTGATGGAAGGAAGAGACAATACCTTGGAGAGGAGGACCATCGAACTAAAAATTAGCATGGCAGAATGGAGAAGCAATATGCAAGAATGGAGAAGAAATATGCAAGAAACGAGAGAAATGAAGCAAGAAATCAAGATTCACATAAAGGGCTTAGAAAGAAGTGAGAAATCTGTCACGAAATGACAGAAAGAGGGTTCAGAAGAAGAGTTGGAGGAAGACAGGGGTGAACAGAATTGGAGGCAGCGGGTAGAATTGCCCAGGTTTGAGGGGCTGGACCCGTTGGGATGGATCTCTTAGGTTGAGAAGTTTTTTGACACCCAAAATGTCACAGAGAAGGAGAGGCTCGAGTTGGCTTACAACTGCATGGAGGGAGGCACAATTTATTGGTTCAAGGCCCGGAAAAATAAAACCAATAACCTTTCTTGGAAAGGGTTAAAAGACGCATTGATAAGGGGATTCAGAGAAAGAGATAGAGGCTATGTTTTTTAGAAGATAGCCCAAACTGCAGGAGTTACAAACGCTGCTGTTGAGAAAGCTGCAGAAGTTTCTGCTGCAAGGGTGGATAACGTGACAAAGGTTGGTAGGAAAAATACATCAGGTGAAGATCATGATGGGAAGGTTGTGACTCTTGTTTCTCCAAGTAAAATTGTAAAAGTTGTTGTTTGTAGTGGAGATGGAGTGGTAGGTTGTGGTGGGAATGTCAAAACAGTAAAGAAAGGGGAAGAATTGTTGAGGCTTGGGGTTAAAACAGTGGTGTCAAAGAGCAACCGAGTGGAGTCTGTATACAGGACAAGAGAGGACATGCTACAAGATATCAAGAAAGGAAAATATTATGAAAATGTATTGCGACAATCAAGCTGCTCTCCACATTGCATTAAATCCAGTGTTTCACGAGAGGACTAAACATATAGAAATTGATTGTCCTTTTGTTCGTGAAAAGTTGTTGACTAAAGAAATATGTACTGAGTTTATTGGGTCAAACGATCAACTCGCAGATGTATTAACCAAGTCATTAAGGGGTCCTCCGATTGAGTTTATTTGTTCCAAGCTTGGTACATACAATTTGTATGCTCCAGCTTGAGGGGGAGTGTTAGGATATTTATCCTATTTTATCATCATTATATTGTCTCAAGAGTTACCCTATTTATCATGATTATATTGTGTCAAAGGTTACCCTATTTATCATGATTATATTGTGTCAAGGGTTACCCTATTTATCATGATTATATTGTGTCTAGGGTTACCCTATTTATCATGTGCTTTTGTATCAATTTATTCTTATAAATAGAAGATTATGAGAGGGATCAATAAAACTCTCTAGAATTATTTTACAATTTAATTATCAAGCGAAAGAAACACTCAGGCGGAGGAGAAAATTCAAGCAATTGGGAGCAAAAAGAAGAGGATGCCATTGACAATAATGGAGCTAGGAAGGGTGAGGAGACACCAGTTTTTTCGTGGGTGAAAAGAGAAGAGTTGACCACTTATGAAGGGATTGACACCCAAGATCAAACAACAGGGGCAACAAATGCTTCTAAAGTTCAAAACACCAAGGGATCAACAAAAGCACACCCAAACAACAAAGAAAATGTAATCCAAGGGTGCAAGACTTGGCATCAGAAATACAAGCACCTTTCTTGGAAAAATCTGGCCCCAACTCTAGTTGAAGGGAACAGAAGAAGCAGTCTCTGTGAGAATTGGGCAATAGTAACACAGATGGGGAGTGTGGAAATTTTACACGAAAGTTTGCAAGTAGATGGATCAGTTGCCAAAAGTGTTATAGGAGCCGATGGAGTCAGAGTTGAGATTTTGAGGACTTCACAAAATTGGGCTAAAAGAATCCAGGAAAAGTAGAAGTCATTGGAGGAGGATTTGCCACCACCCAAGCCTCCAAACTTGAATTGGAGGGCAACATCTAGTGGGTTCCCTTCGTATGGTAACAGGTTGATGAAGAGGAGCCATGAGATCAAGCTTTCCGGTTCTAACCTTGAGGACAAGGTTGTTCTGCAGGGAGTGTAATGATAGGATATAGGGTGATAGGTGATAATGGGTTTAGGATAGAAGGAAGAGAAAATGTGTGGACAATTAGGAGGGAAGAGTTATTTGACAGATAGTTAGTTAGTGGGAAAGGGAAGAGAAACTTTATAAATAGAGAGTGGGTTTTGTACAGGGGGATTATGGAGTGAATTTGTTGTAAAGACAAGATTTTAGCTTGTACAGGAAGGTTATGCTCCTAACCAGGGAGGTTATGCTCCCAACCATTCTTTGTAAAGAGAGTTCTTTTACTGTGAATAATAGAAAAACTCATTCTTTCATTACTATTTTTACCTACGGTTAGTGTTCTTAGTTAGGTTTCAAACCCAGGAACCTAACACAATTTATCAACAAAGCCCTATAAAATGGTAAGCAAATTAGCTTGAAACAAGACAAAAAGAGTAACATTTAACAAATGTTGGTGTTTTCATTCAAGTATGCTATTTTGTTGTGGGGTCTCATCACAAGTGGTTTGATGGTTAATGTTTTTAAGGGAAAAAATTATGTATAGCAAATTCGATACCATTAAAGGTAATTGTGCTTGGAATTTTCTTCTGCCATGAAAACACAAGAACAAAACAAAACAAACCGGAGAAAGAAAGAAGAAATGAAAAAAAAGACAAGTAATCAGAGTTATGAGCAATAGAACTCTTAAAAAGAAGATATATGATATTGTTAGGTTTCTAAATGGGAAACCTAGCCAAAACACTCTCACACACACCAAGATCCGAAGATGAATGAAAGAATTCTGGTATTTCACAAGAATTAGCCTTTACAATCAATAGTCTGGGGAGCATAACCTCCCTCACAAGGTTCAAAGAACCTGTCTGTATACAACTGTCAACAACCCCCTCCCTCTACTAAACAGAGGTTATTTATACAATACTTTCCCGCTCCCCTCCTAACCGTTAATACCGTTAGGCTTTTTAATTCTTTCTCTCCTTTTGTAAACTAACCAGGGCCTATCATTACCCACCGCCCCATGTTCAACCTTGTCCTCAAGGTTGAATTCTGGGTATTGATCACGTATGGTAATGGAATCTTCCCAAGTTGCTCCATCATGGCCCCCTTCTTGCCACTCAATCAACACTTGTGGCACTTCCTCATCTCCCCTCCTTATTTGCCTCCTATCCAAGACTTTAGTAGGCCAATAGAACGACCATTTCCCCTATAATTCCGCAGGCAAATCTTTTTCCACACTATTATCTCCCACTGCTTTCTTCAGCTATGATGCATGAAACACAGGATGTATGTGAGTTGTGTCGGGTAGCTGAAGCCTGTAACCCACTTGTCCCACCTTCTGCTCAACTCGAAAAGGCCCATAATATCTTGTTGCCAATTTCGGATGCATCCTCAATGGCATGGATGTCTGCCTATGTGGCCTAATTTTGAGATACACCCAGTCTCCCACTTCAACATCTGTTACCCTCCGCTTTTTATTAGCTTGCTTAACCATCAACTCTTGGGCTCGCATTAAGTGGAACTTCAATTGCTTCATCGCGAGTCTGTAGCTCTTGCGCCACTGCCTCCACTGTTGTTTCGCCGAGAATAAACCTATGCAAAGATGGAGG